TAAATACCAGAATAACATTTTTTTCCAGAAATGTCAATCGCCTATAGCGCATTAGAACCTGTCCTCCACCTTAAAAAGAATTCTAGAACTTGAAAACAACCTATTGTCCACATCAGGGTTCCCGCGGGTCCTTAAAAAGTCTTAAAAGGCATTGAATTCTTCAAAATAAAACTAAGGCCTTAATTGGTATTAAAATGTCTTAAATCAGTCTTTCGTAGGTCTTAATTTTTAAAACATCATAAATAGGATTATTTTTACTACGATATATTTTTGAAATCTAAATAAAACGTTAAAATTGACAATTAAAAAATAATAAATAACGGCTCGCCATTATTGGTTCCGTCCCGATAGCGGAACCAATAAAAGCGTTGTTGCGGCCTGGACTTATGGGACATGCGCCATTGACTTTTTGTCTGGAAAATGTGAGCAACTGTAAATGTAACCAAATTTGTCTATCCAGCCAAGAGTTTTCTCCATGGCTAAAACCAGGGAACATACATCAGGCACACGTATTTTGTGAAAGAAGTCATTCAAGCTCAGAACGATGGGAATTAGGGGTGGGTATTGGCAAAGAAGTCATGATTCGATTCGAATCACGATTCACATGCCACGATGCGATTCTATCACGATGCATCACGATACTTGAAATATTGCGATGCATCACGACTCTTTAAACCAATGAAATGAAAAAATTTTCAAATGTATATTTCCCCTTTTGCAAATGACGTGCGCCATATCAATTTCATTTTTACCTTCTTAGTTTTTAAAGCCAAAATGCATCCAAGCATCTGACTTGAAATGTGATGGAGCCGCGGGGCGAATTCTCATAGTATCCTCCATGTTTTATTTCACATGACTCAGTATTCCACGGCCGGACATGCTTGTGACACAAAGCAGAGGGCGTCAACACATCCGCAGCGGCATTTGCTGGACTGGAAGTTGTATTCCACTCGGTTTGGCTGATGTGCGCCAACCATTAATGTATTTTATTTGTTCATTTTTTTTTTTTTTTATAATCGATTCTTGCCTTCAAGAATCGATGCAGTAGATCACAAAAATTAGAATCACGATGCATCGTCATGACGATTATTTTGCACACCCTTAATGGGAATTAAGGCAGTGGAGTCGCACATGCGAAACGCGAAACACAAAGCGTCAAAATGGAGTTACCGAGAAACAGCCGGTATTTCTGGGTTTTGTTCCACCCTTGTCTCTGCAACGCCTCCACTTATCACCAAATCAAACATACCGTATTTTCACGACTATAAGGCGCACTTAAACGTCTTTTTTTTTCCGGTGCGCCCTATGGTGCGGTGCGCCCTATGTGTGTTGTAA